CTGAAGCTCTGGCCAGTTCTGCTGTAGGTGTGTTGACCACAGAGATGTAAAAGGTTAACATCTGGGTACGTACTACCCTCTAACAGGACCAGAGTTTTTTACGCTATATAATCACAGCCAAATTCTCTGGCTAATTCTGTGCACATTCTGTAAGTACTGCAAGTATGAGAAACTTTGCAAATAAGACGCAGTCACTAAAGTGGCACGTGGTAGAAAGTATGAANCCTGAACCTGAACTTTTAACTCCAGCATAGACAGGCCTACCCAACTACCAGATTCGGCACCTAAGGATCCTGAATTAACTGGTATATCGGACCACGCTACCCGTTTTCAAGGTGTGTGTCAGATCCCATTTCGGAGTATCATACCCCAGAATGAATTTTGTAGCACGACTGTGGGCTCATCCACGCTCGGCTGAACAACCTTAAACTGTACTCTTACTTTAGAGTACTCTATTTCATTGTCTCTATGGGGATATATGGGGACTTTACGACATTCGGTTTGAATGTTTGAACCACTTTTGATAGGGCTTTTTTGCATTGTATTAGATTAATGTGGCAGTCTAAGGTTCATCTAGGTGGCTTTCAAATTTATGCACCCGGTTTTAAAATCATATAGGGATTTTACGACAATCGTTTACTATCCCATCAAGGTGACAGCCGAGCATGCCACGGCTTATCCTGTCGGTGTTCTGGATGATACTCCGAAATGCGATCTGACACACACCTTGAAAACGGGTAGTGTGGTCCGATATACTGGTTAATTCAGGATCCATAGGTGCTGAGTCTGGTAGTTGGGTAGGCCTGATAGACCATTATCTTCTGTTGCTTGACCACAGTCAGCCACTGACCAAAGAGAGCATTCACAACAGAGTTGATCTGTGCACTAACAGATCTATGGATCAAATATGACCAACCAATCTGAAAGCTTGTTGCATAATCCCATAACAGACACCGAACAGATTCCCTGAGGGGAAATGTGACAAGCTTTAAAGTGGGTCGGCCATTTTTGATCCGCAGATCTTTAGTCCATGGATCATCTCTGTTGTGAATGGTGCCAAAAAATCTTGACCACTACTTGGGTAACTTATTTCAGAACCTTTCAAAGAGCATAGCGGTCAGAGGTTAAGTGACCACTGCTGTGTGTATGTCCATACAGAGTGTCTATATTTAAGAAACAGCAGTGCTCACAGCATGGTTTTAGTGGTAGAAATTAGCCAAACACCTGCTTAACACAGCTCTGCCCACAGGTATACCAGAGGATGTTATTGTAGTAGTTATGCTTCCTTCACAGATACACTTTCAAATTGTGTAGGCCAGCGGTCACTTGTTTTAATAAGAAGTCCATCACTTTGTTTCATTACATACTATGAACCAACATTTTTTAAAACTTCCTAAACATCAGTTACTAGTAAGCTAATTACACGTTGAAGACTGGTTGTGGGTCAGCTTCCCTATTTTCAAGTTTCACTTCTAAGAAAATTTGAAAGAAAACTGCCTTGCTGATATGGGGTTTCGTAAACAAAGAAGCTGGCATGCCTCTGATCTGAAGCTCTGGCCAGTTCTGCTGTAGGTGTGTTGACCACAGAGATGTAAAAGGTTAACATCTGGGTACGTACTACCCTCTAACAGGACCAGAGTTTTTTACGCTATATAATCACAGCCAAATTCTCTGGCTAATTCTGTGCACATTCTGTAAGTACTGCAAGTATGAGAAACTTTGCAAATAAGACGCAGTCACTAAAGTGGCACGTGGTAGAAAGTATGAACAGTCACTGTCGTCTTCCAATGAAAAACATTCAAATTATTGTGTTAGATGTACTTTTGTAGTATGTCAATGGCACACAATCAGCAATGAGCATTATACATTAGACCTTTACAAAGGAGAGAAAAATCTAGTGAAATTCATCAGTATCTATCTTCATCACAAGAGTGGCACAAAAACTAGACACTGAAGTACTAAAAGTTCTAATTATGTGAAAGTTCTTGTATGTGGTATACCACAAGAAGCTCAATGGAAAAAGAATAGACATTTCGAGGAAAATTAATTATTATGCTGTATGCATTAAATGCATTTGGTATTAAAATATAACCACGCACCTCTCCTTTTCACACCTCTTCCATTCCTTCACTCACTCACTCAATCAGTCAAACCCGGACCATATGTCGCTCCGTGATAGAGAAACCTCTCTCTGAGCTGTCTCCACAGGTAACTGCATGTTTGTTCTTGGCCTGGTTTTTCACACTCATCCTCACCAAATCACTTTAAACTTGAGACAAATGATTGCAAACTTCCTTCTAGTTCTACCTATATTATATTGCAAGAGGTTAAACCAACTCATCTTAGTTCTTACCTTTATCCTTGGACTTCTTACTACCAAAAAGCCTGGAGAGAAATCCGCCCTCATCGCTACTACTTCCAGCACCACTGTCTTTGTTGCCGACATCTTTTTTGGCTTTCTCTGATTTATCTGGTTTTTTCTTAGGATTTTTATCCTTCATTTCCTCAAATTAATGCATAAAATCTCCTCTGTTCATAGGATTTGATATTTCTGAAAATAACAATGAAACCGATATTAATTGCTATCAAGATGTAATTGTTATCAGTTAGTTCCTCTTCAACAAGACCGCATAACTGTATCCCTATAGATAAGCAATTTTATCAAAACAATAATACTATTATAACATCTTTGGCAAATGAAGATTTTTGCTATTCTATTCAATTCTCATTTAATTTTTTCTTTTCATTTTTTGTTTGTTTCTGCTTGGTTTTCATCTATTAACCCTGAGGAAGAAATCTTTAGTACTTGGCCCAGACTTAAATAAGCTTGTGCAAGCCTCAACTTTAAGAATCATTTGAAAAGGCCTTAGTGCATGCAAATCCACTTTACTGATATTTGATCTTTAATTCAAGTAAGGTGAGATTTTAAAACAGAAGGTAAACATGCCATTGCATAAGAATTTGACTTGTTTGTTTTGTTTTTTGAAATGTTTGCTCCCGTTTCCATTTAACAATTGGTTGGGTCAAGCCTTGCGATAGAAATACCAGTTTTAATGCCAGAATACAGAACCAGTTGCACTACACATCAGAATTGATTTGGAATTATCTGTACAGTTGTACAACATGTTTTACCCCCTCCCTCCCTCCCAACCCCCTCTCTCTCTCCCTCCCTCTCTCCCTCCCTCTCCCTCTCCCTCTCTCTCTCCCTCCCTCTC